CCCCCCTACAATTATTTAAAGCAGTCTTTTACTCCCCAGGCAAAAGAGTTAGGAAAAATTGACACTCAATTTTTGAACCCCTTGATAATTTCTTTTCAAACCAATTCATGTTCCCTTGGGTAGTTTGAAAACTCTCAGTTCCCTGCACTGATTTTTTACCAATTTTACCATTCCATAGTTTCACACAGTCATACTGTTTCCACATAACAACTTACATGAGTACATACTAAAGGTTAAATTTAATAAGCATGTTAGTACCTGCATCATACAAGCGCGTTCCATAAAGTAGGCATTGTCAAATGCGATAGCTGCAGTTGGTGCAGTAAATAACACGCCATGATTTCCCATAAACAGGACTGCCTTTTTTCCAATAAGCTTAGCCAGTCGCTCGCCTTCTTCGCAACTCAAAGCAGCTCCTCCATATTTTGGGTCATAAGCAAAATCATTGTAGAAACGACAGTGTGTCTGGTGGTACATGCCAAACACCTCTTCTTCCAGCATTCCTGAAAATCACACCAAAAAAAGAACAAGATAGAAAAATAAGATAAAATTAAGAAAACTCCTGGATAGTTATGTTTAGTTAGGCAACCAATAAAGCTTAACAGACGGCAAAAAGCAAGTCCTGGGGAGTTGTGCCTCTTGCGGGGTATCAGGGCATACCTCTCCACCACACCCAACCCTGTCCCCCCCACCACCCCCCCAAAAGAAATGTGTTGTATTCAAGCACTTGAAATTTAACTTATAGGAGCAAATAATAAACTTACACACAGCATTACTATCCAAATAACCAATTCAATCTGCTCCAGTTGCCCATGACAACAACACAAGTTGTACAATAAAACCTGGTTAACAACCAAATTTTTGTTGTGCCTTACTCAACTGATAATCATAGTACTTATCCATTACTTCTTTTCTAGCCTGAGAAAAACTAATTTATTTCCAAAGAGACACAATGAATGCACAGTAACCCAAGTGGAATGATAGAGGGGTGGAGGAGATTCGAGATTCTGTGGAAAAAAAATTTGAAACAGTAAAGTTAACATAAAATTTGAATTGACCTCCAGTTTCACTTGCCAGTTATCTGGTTGTTAGCTGTCTAAAGTGGTATTGAGGGTAATAATTTGGTAAAATTAACTTGTCAAAAATTCTTTAGACTACTTTTTTTTCATTTTTTCACATTTCAGTTTCCATACTTTTTCCAGATGTGGAAAATTATATGCAGTTTGTAGATGTCCATGATACATCTTTCAAGTACTCCACATTCTGAACAAATCTTATTGAAGATCCATTCATCTGCATATAGTTCAGTGTACATCACTAACACCAAGTGCTATTAACCTAGCTATCAACCATTCAATACAAAATACATGAAAGTTACCTATAGCAGTTGTGTATGGCGAGTGAAGATGGAAGACACACACCGCATCTGGCCTAGCATCATGAACACCTTTGTGGATTGCATTAGCCTCTATCTGTATGTGACCTTTGCCTTCCACCAGCTCACCTCTGTCACTGACACCTAGCAGAGATGATGGGGTTGCCTGTGTGAAAACAAAAAAAATACACTCAGACACAAATATGGGGTGACTGTGATACTGATGTTAATATATATTATGGCTAGTAAAATGTGATTAGAAAAAGGCTGCCCATTTAATGAGCTTTTTGTGATAACAATAGAACCTCACCAGAAATAAAATGCAGTCACAAACTAAACACGAGAATGCTCCATAAAAGATATCAGGTGGACTGAGTTGTCAGTCACTTGAAACACTGCAAAACTGTGCCTTAAGGTGTATATACCAGCTTTAAATGTGTGTATTAAGTGATTAATTTTGTATGCTCAATTTAGGAAGATTTTGAGCTCTTGAGATCAATAAAATAATCAATATCGAATTTAGCCAATCATACTTGTGTATTAATGATACTTTTCAGTCCAGGGGCCCATTTCTCGAAAGTCCCGGGAACTTTTCGGGCCTGCAAAGCCATTTGTGGATAATCTGTATCTAAAAAAGAGGAATAAATAGAGGAATAGAGGTGTATATACGCCTGAAACTTCTTGCATGAAGGGAACCTCCTGAACCTCTGTTGATATTACGAATATGTCAATAAAACAGCCTTTAATTTGTAATCATAACGCTTGCGATTTTGTCACAGCTTCCCGGGTGCAAAAACTTTCCGGGACCTTTGAGAAACGGGCCCCTGGCTAGAAACAACCATACAATGAACAATGATACAATGTAGCATTGTAGCATCTATGAAAAGAGCTACTAACAGCAAATTATACAGCTTACAACAGTTTTGGTTACACAGCCATTTAGCCATCGTCATAATAAAAGCAAGAAAACTACAGTACACAGCAACACATCTACTGTATGCCCTTTTGTTTAATTTGAACCAATACAATATAACTGTTAGGTGGATAGCGTATTCATAGCGTGAACGATACCGGTTTCGCCCCATGGCGAGTTCGCCGCCACCGAGTTCGCCCCCTCTATAAAATTTCTATTTCGAGTTCGCTCCCAACTTTTCGAGTTTGCACCAAATTTTGTGTTCGTGTTTACGTAGTTGTTATCGGGTTATTAAACGTTTTCGAACAACCATTTCAGTCTATGAATGTTTGATAAGCTTAGATGATGATTGTTCGCTTGTTGCATTAGCAACAAAGTCCGATCGGTTGACTTTGAAAGATAAATGGCGCTTAAAAGTATGAACTGCGTTTAAAACTTTTTATTGAACTTCGTTTAAAACGTCGCTATTACACCAATTATACACCGGCCAAAGTGTGGCTTCGTTAGCAAGTCTAAGTAAGTCGAGTCAGCGGCTGACCTATTTTATTTTACTGGTTATCTATACAATTTTGAGGGCAGGGGGAATGGTCATATATCGAGCATTTTGAGATCCCAAAATGCAAGGTAACGTATATGCATAATATGTGGAATCACCTATCAGAAGTCATTTACTTCTACTAAAAAGGGGCCAAATTACAAACGGGGTTTAGTCGATCTGTTTGAGATAGCATTTACTTACGGTTCATAATGATCTCAAATAAAAAGCATTGCAAACCTGACTCCAATGGAGACCATGAGGAATCATGAGCATGACCTCTCCATCGCCGCTCAATGCAGGAGCCATCATCGTCAAGTGCGTGCAAACACCTTCACTCAAGCCGTACCAGTCGAGACCTCGAAGTGCCGTCGCCAAATCTTGTCTGCATTTCCAGTTCGCTTCTTTCGCGTTTTCAACCGAACTTGGCTCAGTTGAAGAACTCTTCTGCCTCGTTAAAACTGAAACAGGCCAAGGTCTATGGAAGCTGCGAATGGGACGGATTGCTGTGCGAGAGAGAGGCCTCAAAACCCTAGACAGCACACTGGTGGCCATTTTTGCCTTAGAGACGATACTGTCACGCAATAAGTCACGCAAACTCTTTTGTACACCTTCTTGGCGGGTGGAAGGTGCGGGGAGACGTGAGACGGGGGTGGGAGAGCATGAAATTAGTCTACCAAAATCATAGGCACGCAAGACGTGACCAAGTATTTTCTGTTATTTTTTTCCCCTCGAGGAAGCAACCCCCAGCGGACTCTAAACAGTTATGATTATAGTTATGATGTACAGCAAAAACAAACTTAGATTATTTTATTTTTACTAGTTATGATGTACAGCAAAAACAAACCAACGATTATTGAAACTTAGAGTTTGTTTCACCTTAAAAGGAACCTCCACTATTTTTACAAATATGGCCTAAAATGTTTCTAATGTACTTATTAGAAGATCTGAAATAAAAAAATAAAAAAAATGTCTCACCTGGTGAAATAATTTTTTTGTCGTCTTATCTTGAATGGCGCGCAATGCATTACGGGCTGATGACGTATCGTGGTTGCTTCGCTTTGCTTGGTTACCCAGCGCTTCCTGTTTTGATTGCACTTCTTGGTAAAAGAGACCTGAACGACGTCGCAGATATATGGGTTATTGACAAAGCGTGAGGTCAAGATGGCTGGATATTGGCCAAGTTCTTTTTTTTGCGAGTTTATGGACCGAGACGGAGTCGAGGTCCATAAATTCGCCAAAAAATAACGAGGCCAATATCCAGCTATCTTAAACCGAACAAGCTTGGTCAATAAAGGATTTATTATATGGCTTTCGGAGAAATTTTTCTTGCGGGACACGGCGGGTAGTCCCGAGCGGGCAAGATAGCTCCATCTTGCCCGCTCGGGTAGCCAATCACAGCACAGGATTCGATTCATCTTGCCCGCTCGCGGAGCTTGCCATATAATAAACTCCCTTATCAGCTGAAACCAGAGTACTCGTCGACCGAAGAAAGAAGCGATTCAAGATGGCGGCCGTGGGAATTTTAAACGGGCTATAGGGCCCATCTTTGGAAGACGATAAAAAAAATTATTTCACTAGGTGAGACATCTTTTTTTATTTCAGATCTTCGAATAAGTACATATGAAACACTTTAGGCCATATTACTAAAAATAGTGGAGGTTTCATTTAAGAAATCTGATATGAAGCCTAGTTTTATCCGAAAGGTCTGATTGCTTCGTTTATTAGAACTACAGTGAAACTGTTTCCAGCAAAGACAGCTAGGCGTCACGCAGTCTGTATTAGAAGCTTACTCTAATGTAAACGGCAGATTGGTGTTAGTATTGTCTTATTCTGTTGCCAGCACTGATCGTAGTTTTTTCGGTTTTGATATTCCACGAAACCACTTCACCTTAATATCGAATTTAAAAAACCGTTTAAGAGAGAAGATATTAATGAAGGTCAACAGCGTTACTTGACTTGAGATTTGAAAAAAAGGGAGAGAGCTTACAGCAGTGACGACGGCGAGCCCAAGAACAACGCCTAGTAAAAAACAAATTTACATTTTACCTTTGAATTTCGCAATTTCCTAGATCTGTTTAGTGCGCCTATTCGTTTCAGTGTAATGCCATGAAAATACGAAAAATGAGCCTCCGTCGTTTGAGATCTGCAAAATTCGCGGAACTTAGTAATTTCACGTTGTTGTTGTTGTGCAGAGGACGAAAAGAACTGCATATGGATTTATAACGAACGTGCACAGCCATAGCTCTACTCATTAAACCTTTTGTTTGGCAACGTTCTCGTTGCCACTCCTGCTGGCCATTGGCCCAGTATCCTATCGCTACGATATTTTAGTGTAGATACCAATGCCGTGGTGACTACCGATACCTTAAAAATCCTTGGTGTAACGCTAGACTACATGCAAGCTTAACTTTGCATGTTACGCGAAAGAGCAAGTAAAAAAGGCATGCCAAAGCCTCCGCACTAAGAAGGATTCCGAGGTTTATTCCCTCAGACATTATGGAACGCCTCTACAAGGCATACATTTTACCTCATTTAGAATATTGTTGTCCGCTATTGCTTAAGGCTAGTAGATTTAAACATAAAAACTAGAGGAAACAAATTATTATAATCTCAGGTCCATTTAGGTTATGGGAAAAAATACATCCTATGAGTATTTATTAGAGACTGAGTTAAAATAAAAACGGTTGAACAAAGAAGAAAATTCCAGGCCCGAGTTTTAGTTTTCCTTAATATCAAAATTTGTAATTGTAATTTAAGAGGGTCGGACACTCTTTTAACGCTACCTAATTTTAATTTAGAATGGCGTCACAGATCGTTTTCATTTTTAGCTAACATGTGGAATTCAATACCTCTTTATGTTAGAGAAGCAAAGGATGTTCTTACTTTTAAACGTATTTTAAATAAGCATATTTTCTAACTTGTATGGTGATTTTATATAGATTAATATAGTATTTATATAAATATATTTTTTATCAAAATATTTTTATTGCTTGAATAGTTAAGTTTAATTTTATTGATGTTTTCATTTTTTAGCACGCACGTGTTTTAACTAGCTTTTATTATTCCTAAATGTTGCGTGGGTAAATAAGGGCCCGTTTACATTGAAAGAGGATGATCCTAGTGCTAGGATCATCCTAGAAGGTTCATTTGGTTTACATGCAAAAAAGCAGCTCCTGGGATCAACTTTTCATTTGGTTTACATGCAAGATTTGTGTTCAGCGCGGTTGCAAAGAAAGATGGCGGGCGACAATGACAAAAGTGTAGTTTTGGGAGTTCTTCTCTCTTTACTGGCGTTGATAACTGCCTTCAGCATCAATTTGCCATTATATACAACTTATTTCAAACACAGCAACAGTGGGCTATGATTTTCCAACTAAATCACACTGCCACAATTTCCAGGTTTCAAATAGCGAGGAGGAAAATCAGACGTGGACCTGCTCGCAGATTATCGCAACTGCACCAGGACGACCGAAGGAAAGACTCCAAAATTCACTACTTCCCGCTGACTCTCTACTTTGGGCCCTGTATTTTGAAAACAACATTGGCCCACCTCGTTGCACATCAGTATCGTCGTCTTCTTCGTTGGGCAGAGATATTCGAAATTGTCGGCCTTTTGAGCTTTCAGTCGATAAGTGCGAAAATCCCGCCATGTTGTTTCTCAGAACTCGTCCCCAGGGCCATATCCGGTTTCAAGACGGTGGGTGGGCAAACTGGGCCTCCTGAAGCCGTTTACATGGAGGTAGGATCATCCTAGTGCCAGGATCATCCTTCCTCTCGGATAGGATTATATTATCCTAGCGGTAGGATGATCCTAGCACTGGGGCCAAATACAACCCTTCACATGTAAACTGAAAGCTGAAAACATACCGCGCTCGGATGATCCTGGTCCTAAGATGATCCTAGCACTAGGATCATCCTATTTCCGTGTAAACGGGCCCTAAAGGATCGCTGATTGTTTTTGTTGTTGTTGTTGTTGTTGTTGTTGTTGTTGTTGT